CAAAGCCACATTCCACAAAATGACTCTCCAAGGATCTGAAAATCACTGACGTTAAGGAAAATATACCTGCTAGGGACCAACCAGAACCTGGACAATCTATGACAAACTTGGCTGCGGAATCTATGATAGTGGATGAGACGCGGACTACTAGCAGTAAACGCCCCGCTCAGTCCCACCATTGAATTCAATATTCCAGTCGCTAACAGATTTTCCTTTGCTGAAGAAGGAACTCTACACTGGACATGGACAGTTCGGATGATGGAAATTACACAGAAATTAAGAAATCTGTCCGAAAACTAGGCGAACGCACGGGAAACGCCGTACCCCGGCAATAAACCCAAAAAGGTAAAGAAAAATCTGTGAATCCTGTTCCTCAGGAAGAGAAACTTCTGAATCCTGCCGCTCAGGAAGAAGAAGAACCACGCGATTCGTCTGCCGTGATCGACACTGCCTTTCATCAACCAATCAGTGTGGATGGCCCTAACACTCGAAACACACGAGGTTGCTACCAGTAGTCATGATAATGTGGCGCCATCTATTGGGGCTACTGAAAAGTCAGCTCACGCGAGTATGTCTTTGGCAGAAAGCGTAGCTCGGCCAATCAACATCTTGGATGAGGTCACGTGCCCGGTTGGGCCAATGGATAGTGATGCTCGTGAAACTCAGACTGGAGCAACCCGAACTGAGGTCAGTTCACTTTCCCGCACAGGACGGCGAAAATGCCGCCGATTTGCATTCGAGAATGCAAGTACAACTGGAAAGCTTTCACTGATACTGCTTGAAAAGGAACAACTGACCGATTTCACCTCGAAAAAGAAAGGTGAAGGCAACTATGAGATACACACAAAAAATTCGGATACCTTCCGAAGCATGACTGCCTTTTCGACAAAAAAGAACTTTCTTATCACTCGTTCCTTCTCCTGAGGAGAAGAACCTCAAAGTTGTGATAAGAAATCTTCCCATTGATGCGAAACCCACGGACATTCAGGAGAAACTCCGTGAAAAAGATTTCACTGCGCTCAAAGTGGAACAACTGATGAAAGGCAGAGGAAAAGATAGGGCTAAAATACACCTATTTCTGGTCACTCTCCCTAAGAACCCTAGGAACAATGAGATATACCATCTGAAATATCTAATGGACTTGTACATTAAAGTGAGTGAGTGAGCGCCACCAAGGAAGACCACTGACCTGGCCTTAGCCTCACAGTGTGTTATCTTCCTGGCAGAAACCATCTACTCTCTGCTCCATCCTGCTCCGAGAACGCAGCCGAATAGACGGCTAAGAGCCTCATATAGTCTACATATAAGCTTGGATGTTGTTGTACGGGGAAAGAGTATCCTGTTAGGAACTACTTAAAATTAAGCAAAGAAGCAATCAAAAGACTGTTAAGAATCGCTGTTAGAATAGACAGAAACTTGTGTTAGATAAAGTAAAGATAGGAAGGACTTTGCCTGAAAAATTAACTGCCGTGGATTTTCTGGACTTGCTAAATGTCTACATGCGGGTGCTTATCCGTGACACAACCGTCATATCTTTATGGGGCTTCTGTGAAATCGTTGGTCCTGCATGGAGGAAAGTTGTAACCTATTAAATTATTGCACATAGTAAACTTAAAAAAAATAAATAAAAATAAAAATTAAAAAAATAAATAAAAAGAGAGAGAGATTAAAAGATGATTAAAAAAATCCTAGCGCCCAAACATAATTTAACGCAGATTATTTTCCATGTGCCTGACTCTTATGTAAGAACATTTAAAAGATTGTGTACCTGTTATCACTAAGATAACAAATTCCTGCATAATTTAGTTCTTTGCGCATACTTAAACTGTAGTTGTTTTACAAATTGAACCATTCACCTACATTTTCTTTCGTAGTACTTGCAGACAGGATAATACATACATAAGTACAAAACTGAATATTAAAGTGAAAAACTAACATGATACTGAGTACAGAAATACAGAAAGCTGATCCCTAATGCCTGCATACATAACACTTAAAAATGCATACATAATACATGAAAACTAAAAATAAAACTGATAAGCATAATACATAAAACTGATCATTAAGTAACTGCTATGTAGTCTAAATCCTAGCCAAGTACGAACTGACCTTCATAGTACATGCTGAGAAGGAATAAATACAGACTTGAGTACTTTAAAGTGAACATAAACAGAAAAGTACAGCACCATACTCAGTAAAACTGATATCTGATTCCAAACACTTGAATACATAATGCTGATACATACATAATTACAAAGAGAAACTTACCTACATTAATTCCATAGTTAGTTTTATCACCTTAGAACATGCACATAATTTATACAAAACATAATTAAGCACGTAATGCTGATCACTAGGGAAGAGATTCAAACATGCAATTGATCACATAAATACAGATATTTCTTCCCTAAGATTTGCATAAAAAGTTGAATATTTATTAAAATTAAGAAGGCAAAAATGCCATACCAATAATAATATCATTCATAAACTTGAGGTGATAACATAAGTTGACCTTGCCCTTCTTGAACCTATTTATCACAAACTTGTAATTTAAATACACGATTAGTAAGTGTAGGAAAAACTCATTGCTGTTGAAGATTTTACTGGCACGATCTGGTCTTGCGAGTCCTAGACCTGTACATTAATTGCAAAAAGTAAACATTATAAAGAATATAGGCAGGTTGTTGCCATAGTCCTAATTATCTAAGTTAGTCTTGGGTTGAGAGGTTCGAGGTGTGTGCCCAGATTGATTTAGTGTGATTTATACATTTTATGATTCAGAGCGCTAAGCACTTGATTATTTCTATTTGGGGACACTTATCGTCGTATTAGAGAATACTTTCTCTGACAATGGCTGATTACCGCTTGTAGCTTTTTATTTGCTGTTTTGTTTGTTCTCATATTTGCCGCCCATTGTGGCCAGTAAGCTTGACTTGGCTTTCTTATATGGTACTGTGCCGTGTTTGTGCAGTGGAAGACGTAGTGGTCTGGATCCCCCACCTCTCCACATTGACATCTTTCTGTGTCACTCAGGCTGAATCTATGCAGATAGGTCAGGAATGGGCCATGACCTGTATAAAACTGTGTCTGACTACCACTATTGCAGTTTAACTCTAGCGTTGTTTTTGGGAAGAACATATACGTTCTCCTTCCTGTATCTGCTGTGTCCCATCTGGCTTGCCATCTGTCTATCAGTTGTTTTAGAGTGATCTTTTTGAGATGAGACCTAGGTAATTTATCTGGCAGTTCTGTTCTTGAGACCTCCTTTGCCGCTTCTTTTGCCAGGGTGTCTGCTTCCTCATTGCCTTTAATGCCCACGTGAGCCGGAACCCACGTGAGGCATGGCCTTTCTGATGGTGGAAGACTGAGGAGGATTTTTCTAATTTCTTGGACATACTGGCTTCTACTTTTGTAACCTTTGATTGCGTCAAGGCTAGAGGCAGAATCACTGTAAATAGTAATGTGGAGAAGTCTGTTCCTCTTCACATAATTAATTGCTGCTTTAAGTGCTGCCAGCTCAGCTTGGAATACTGAGTTCCTACTGCCAAGTCTTCTTTTCCATTTATACACAGCTGTATTACCTTTTAGAACGCAGAAGGCACTGCCAGTACCCGTCTCGGTTTTTGAGCCATCTGTAAATATAGCTGTGTGGTTATCTTTTGGTGTCACATAGTGGCCTAGAATACACTTTTTTAGATGTGTTTCAGCCGGATGTCCTTGTTGAGTCACTGGCTTGTGTTTTTCAAAGTCTTCAGCAAAGTGGTGTTGTTCCCATAGAACTCCATCCTCACCTAGCCTTAACACTCTTGCAATTAACGACTCCCTTTCCGCTTGCAGGTCTAGCGGAGGAATTCCTGCTAGAACCTGCAGAGCTGTCGTTGAAGTAGTTCTGTAGCCCTTGCAGATGAGCAAGAGTTGCAGCCTTTGCATGGACAGGAAGTAATCTACGCATGCTTACGTTGAGTGTATTTCCCCAGATCGCTACGCCGTAGAGAACAATTCTTTCTGTTATTGCTTGGTACCACCTCTTAAGCACCCATGGTGGTGCTCCCCACTGCAGTCCTGTTGTGCGTAGCATTGTGTTTGTGAGTGCGATACATCTTTTCCTGAGTTCTTTTAAGTGGGGAATCCAAGAGAGATTATTGTTGAGGATAAATCCTAGGTATTTTATGTTTGAAGAGCATTTTATTGAGCTACCGTTGAGTCTAATGGTAGGATTTCTTTTCATTACTCTTTTACGCCCTATAAATAGCATGGTAGTTTTTTTTCTGCTGAGATCGTAAGTTTATGTGTTTGTGCCCACTCTAAGAACCTATTTAGTGCATTTTTGTGTAATTTTCTCGATATTCTTTCTTCCCGAAGTTACTAGAAGGAAATCATCCGCAAAAGCCTGCAGATGTATTTCGCTCTCCATCTCAAAAATTTGGAACGCTGAATTAGCTACTAGGTTCCACAGGGTTGGCCCTAGACAGGAACCCTGTGGACAGCCTTTTTCTCCAGTTTTATGCTGGATTATTCCATCGTTTGTAGTTACTTGAACTTGTCTGTCTTCAAGGTAGCTCCTTATCAACTTTAAGATCTGAATTGGGCAGTTGATTGAATCTAATTCTTTTGTTACATCAGGCCACCAGACATTATCGAAGGCTCCCTTTATGTCAATAGATATTACTATTGAGTGATTGTCTTCCTCTCTGTTCTTTTTCAGCACTTTCAGGAGATCTGCTACTGCCTGTTCCGTAGATATTCCTTCACGGAAGCCATACTGTTTTTTATTAATTACTGAACTTTTATTCAGGAAATAATTTAGCCTCATTAGAATGATTTTTTCTAGAACTTTGCTAATTGTGGGAAGGAGACTTACCGGGCGGTAGGAGGTCGGATCCGAGGGATCTTTCCCCTTTTTGTGAAACAGAGCGATCTCTGCCAGCTTCATATCTTTCGGAAAGTGTCCTACTTTCCAGCATGCTTTGCAGACTGAGTGGATCAGCTCTGGAAACTCATTATGCAATGCCTTGAGTATTATATTGTCTAGGCCATCCGGCCCCGGTGCCTTTTTCCTTGCCAAACCATTTATGATTAAGGTCTACCTCCTCTATTGTTGGTGGGAGATAGTCTCCATTTATGGAAGACCAGCAGAATTTTTCCTGAAATTGCGTCCTTATTAATGTATGCGTTTCTGAGTCATTGGCGGGATCATCTGAAGGAAAAACCGTTTTCAGTATTACCGAAAGAATATTTCTTGTATTTGGTGCGTCAGGGGCCACATTCGCAGTCAATTGAGTCGGTCTAAAGACCTTACCTGCGGCGATTTTTTGTATTTTCCCAAAAATTTCCGGTATTCTACTACAGTGTTCCTGCCAGGAGTCGGATTTGGCCTTTATTATCTGTAGTTTGTATTGCGCAAGTGCCTTCTTGTACGTCTGCATTTTTTGGTCCCTTTGTATGGAATCTGTTTCTGACTGTGCCAGTCTTCTGAGCGCCCGAACTCTGCTTCTGTTTGCCGTTAGTTTGTCATTCCACCAGGAAAGTTCTTTCTTCTGGCTGCTGGGTGTTTTTTTCTTATACGTTTGTTTTGCTGCACTTGTTAGAGTTCCAATTAAATGCCTGTAGGCATCATCCAGTCCGTCTATGGTGTTGCTTGCTTGGAAGTTGAAAATCAATTGACCTACATAAGGACGAAGCAAATTAAGGAACTTCTGATGTCCTCCATAAGCTGTCTTGAACCTCTGTTTCAGAGTATAAGTTAACTGAGCGCCCATTAGATAGCTGATTATTCTGTGGTCGCTCAGAGAGGGAATGTCCATAACATGCCATTCCGACATTTGATTTGCTAATTGGGAAGAAACCATGGTTAAATCCGGCCAACCTTCCGCCCTTATAGTGCGAAAGGTGGGCGGTGAGTCTGACGTGTTTATGATGCTTAATCTGTTTGTCATTGCATATTCTAAAACCATTTTGCCTCTTACGTTTTCCACTCGCGCCCCCCATAAGGGACTTGAAGCATTGAAATCACCTGCTAATAAGATTTGGTTGTTCCCTTTTCTGACGACAGTGCTGATTTCTATTAATAGTGGATCTAATTCCTCACTTGGTGGAAAGTACACATTAGTAATTTGAAGGTAGGTGTCCCGTAGTTGTCTCTAGTTTAATGGTAACTGAGTGTTGCGTCTGAGATGTAAGGAGGGGAGATAGCGGACCATTATAAATTATGACAGCCTGTTGAGAGGTTGACTGGAACGTCTTGCTTGTGGGTGGAATTCCTGGCAGATGACTATGTGCTAAGTACGGCTCTTGTATGAGGGCGATATCCGCATTTTCCTTTGTCATAATATCCATGAAGTTAAGTGTTGCAGATCTAGCTCTCTGCAGGTTTGCTTGGAGAAACCTGAGTCCTGTGACTTGTTGGCGGAATTGGTTACTGCCTACATCCGTTGTTGCTGTGTTTTGCTGCCTCGTTGCAGTTCCTGTCGGTACACAGGACATTTTGAAGAACTTGCCGGATGACTTGCGTCAAAGTCTGTGCTATTATGCGTATTGGAGTGAACACAATTCGCACAATTTCCTCTCTTCTGCCGTACACTCTTGTGTTAAATGACCTTTTCCGCACTTAGTACAGGCTGGTGGGAATCTGCAGTTTTTACTTAGGTGGCCAAAGGTTTGGCAGTTGTAGCAGCGGGTTATTTTTTACGTATTCTCTAAACGGACACGAAGTAAATCCAATATAAACCCGCTTGTGGTCGAGAAGCCTGTCTTTGAAATCTGCTGTCACTTCCAGTATCCAATTACAGGTAGTTTCGTCCCTAGGTCTCGGGCCTTTTGGAAAGATAACTGGCGACCGCGTTTCTGGCAAAAGATCTTCAAATGCTGCTTTTATTTCGTCTGCCGTTATGTCACAGGGTACCCCAAATACTATAAGAGAGCTCCTAAACGGACGGGGAATCCTTAGTTCTAAGTGCTCTGTCAGCACGCTAGACTCTTCAATTACTTTTTTAAGTTTGTGCAGGTGTGTGGCTTCTTTGCACCTAATCAAGAGTTCTTTAGATCTCGTGGCCCTCACTTGCTGTATGTTGATGCCAAGCTTATGAGGTTTGATGTTGTTTAGAACTTGCGCTTTCACACTATCTGGCGTGCGCTCTGAATCTTTCCCCTTGATAAGTAAAACGTGCTCAGAAGGCTTTTGCTTGGGAATGGCTGTTGCTTGTATGGAAGGGGGCTTCTTTTTCTGAATCTTACCGGCCACAGTTGCGTAACTCCGGCGGTCTTGTTGTCCTGTAGGATGGTTTTCCTGTAGCTCCGGGACCTTAAAACTGTGCTGCTCTCTTGCTTGAGAGAAGAGACTGGCATTAAGTTGTCGTTCTAGTTGAAGTATTTTGTCCCTCCTGTCGTGCAATTAAGATTTCCTGATTAGAAGCTATAGCCAGTATTTCTGTGATATAATTGGACACCGCTTCGTGGTCTGCGATTTTTAGTTTAGAACGGCCTCTGTACTCTGCTAAAAGTGACTTGATGTGCAGAGTCAAAGTGTTAATCCTATCTAATCTGGAAGATGGATGGTCTAATCTCACTGGGCTCACACACCTCGAGCTGGTAGTCCTAATTGATCTAGTTGGGGAGGTTTCTCTTGACCCCATTTAACATGAAATAGTAATATTAACTTAAGAATAAAATACTAAGTGAGTCTCCCAACCTGTTAAATTTCTAATCCTAGCACAGAGTGCTCACTCGTTCGATAAAGAGTAATATTAGCTTAAAAATAAAAAAACTCAGAGGATCTCTCAACCTGTTAAAGTTCTAATCCTTGCACAGAGTGCTCACTCGTTCGATGAAGAAAGTCGGAGGAACACAAAGCAAATGTAAGAACAGTATATAGCACTGAAGTTACGGTATTTTTTTAGGTGAGAAAACTTCATATGCTTGCAAGAACTAGCGCTAATGGCAGGAAGATGAATACTAATAACGAAGAGGGGAAAAAAACCGTCCGCAGCGCACTATAACATTACAAAATTGGAATAACAAATAGCAACAAACAATACATATAATAAGCAACATACAATAAGCAAATTACTACTACAGGTAAACAATAAAATTGTAGTAAAAAAAGATTAAACAAATTAATAGACAGTTAATCACGATAAATTCAAAACACGATAAATCACGATAAATTGTCGGATATTGTCTGTGTCTTCTTTGTTGTAACAACTCAAACATGTCACACAGTATCCTCACGGCTCCTGTTTCGTGCAATCCTCACTGCGCTCGCCTCTCAATGGCTTTGCGACTCTTGGTCGCCCTCTGTATACCACCTTTGACCTCACCAAATTGTCAAGAATGATCAACGCCATGTGCCCACCGGGCTTACTCTCATGAGCCGGACAAGTCGCGCTATTGCGCGACATTTCGGCCATATCGGGTAGAGACTAGACTAGTCAGGAAAATAATAATAACCCAACACCAGTTATGATTAAGCCGGAAGATGGCGCCACTCACAACCAGTATCCCAAAAAATTTCTACTATCATACAAGCTAAATTCTATGGAAAAGTCAGCGGTGAATATCTCAAATTACTACCATGCACACCAGATGACCACAGACAGCTAACATTAGATCTAAAAGCACACAACATAGAACACTATGTCATTACACCCAAGCATAAAAGATCGATAAAATAGTTATCAGAGGGCCTACCTATTACAACAGACACGAACGAAATTTCAACTGAACTTACAAATCTAGGATACACAATCTACAAAGTAGTTCAATTAACACGTTTCAAAAACCAAACAACCCATGCTACTATTTCAAGTACAACTCATGCAAACACCCAACATCGAAAAAATTTACAGTGAAACCCATTTAGGAATGTTCATAGTCACGATAGAAAAATACATTAGGAAAAACATCACACCACAATGCCACAACTCTCAAAGATTTCACCACTCATCAGATAATTGTTTTTTTCCTACCAAGATGTGTTAAATGTGCAAAAAATCATAAAACATCAGACTGTCCTACACCTGGAAAAATTGAAAACCCAGTTTGTGCTAATTGCTCAAAAAATCATCCAGCTTCTTATCGCGGTTGCGAAAAATTCCCTAAAAATACACCTAGAAATAATAACAGTTCACCTAATTTCACTTTTACTCCAAAAATACAACTTCACAAACAGCTACATTCACCCAAGGCAAAAGCTATGCACAAGTTGCTTCAAATTATAATCAAACCACCCAAAACCAGAACAGCAATAGCGAACCAAGTTACAATAACTTCACTGATATATTTTACACTCTAAAAGAATTAAATTCTGTTTTTGGAAACAGTAACCTATTTAAATTATTTACTCTGTTAAGATCCAACATGGAACAACTAAAAGCAGTAAATACTTCTATGGAAAAACTATTTATCTTATTCAACATCTGTGAAGAAGCTAATATATTTAATTAATACATTGTCAGAGAAAAGAAAATCTGAAAAAGTTTCCTAAGTCCAAATACACCTTAAACACTCCAAAATCATCGCTTGCATGGGACCCCTCAGCTTTCAATCTCTAAAGTACTTCTCTCCACTGCTATTGGACGCTCCTGTCACATGACCAGCCACAATGTTAGAACAGACAGCCTCTTCTCCGCCCAGCTCCAGCGACGACGCCTTCAATAATTGACGCTATTCCCCTCATCGCACGGTTCCTGCCTGTTTACTGCTGATCTCCTTCGACTCTCCGGCTACATATCTCCTAGTGCCTGTACCATCATCATTTTCAACTTATGCAAGGAATAATGCCATATTACACTCATGTCCATAAATTAAGGATAATTCGGAGTCACGCGGAAATCGAACTCTAAAATAAATATGTCACCTGTAAAATCACTACACACATCTTCAAGAATCATATG